AGAGACGATCTCGCCGGCGTCACTGGTTCCCGCCTCCCCCCGTGCCACACCCCGTCACCTGCGCCTCCTCCAGCCGCCTCACCCAGACCCGCACATGGCTGCACCCCTCCTGCCCGCAGGGATCAAAACATCCGCTCAACACCACGAAACAAACATCCCAGAGCACGAAGGGCATCCTCCCCACCTCTCTTTTTTTTTTTTTGGTAGTAACTACAAGAGCTTTCCGCTCCCACACCTTCAGCCAGGCAGGCTGCTGCAGGCTGCCAGCGTCAACCCCTGAAAAGAGAGACTGCCTCAAGGATCTGAATGCTGCTGCGGTTCATCCTGGCACTGAGTGCCAGCAGGCAGTAAAGAAATTGGCCACTAAAAAAATAGTAAAAAGCTTTAATGTCTTACAGTAAACCAATTATTGCACAGTATAAATAATTAACACAGACAAGTTCAAATAAATAACACATGGTTCAACACGCATCTCTGTTCAAAAGCAAACTATGACCTCAGGGAACAGGGTTTGTCTCGTCTTGACCCGGTGCTTCACGTCCCAAATCATTATCGAATTCATAGCACTCATAGCACTGCAGAGTGCGATGAGAAGTCATCGCTCAGGTATGAGCTTTGATCTTCAGAGTCCGGACCACAGCAGCCAGAGGCAGTTGGGTAAACACCGAGCGAGGAGGCAGCCGGGACAGCTCATCGCCGGACAGCTCATCGCCTCACAGCTTGGCTGCTGGCGGAGACAGACCCCTCCCTCTGGCTCACAGCCCTTCCCAGTGAGGTTTGCTTCCCAGCCAGCCATTTCTCATCTGCTGTGCGTTTAAAACATTTTGCTTAATAAAATAACGCTTTATCTCACACTCCAGATCGGCCCCATATTTACCTGCGAATCCTCACAGTAGTAGGTAGATAAGCATCACCCTCCAATTCACAGGTAGGTATGAAACAAACCCAAAAGCAGAAACAAAGTTCCCTGCTGAAGCTGCATGACATGACATGGCCAGGGCTAGGACAAAACTGCAGGGTATCTGGAGGTCCAGCCCCACATTTACTTCATTCTGGCTCATTTTTAATGACTAACACTGCCCTACAGTTCACAGGCCTCCTTGCAAGTCCCCAGTTAACGCCTAAAAAAAGATTTCCTAATGCCAGCTGGGTCAGAGGAGCCGCGGCTGGGAGAGGCACAGCGGATAGGGACATCTCCAGCGCTGGAGGTGGCTGGGCACCTGTCGCACTTGGAACAAGGAAGGGAGCATGGAAATCGGGAATCTCTTGTCGGGCAGACCCGGGCTCTCCAGACAGCGCCTGACCAGCCCCCAGTGCTTGCCGTCCAGCTTAGCGCTGGGGGCCGGAGCCCCCTTTGCGTGAACGGCTCTGCGCGGAGCGCTTGCGGAAGTCAAAGCGGACGCAGTCAGCGTTGCTCCCACCCAGGTGTTACTCAACGGGCTTCACTTTTGCCACGAACAAGGCGGTGGCTTTTTTCAGGAACTCCTCCCGGCTCATGGAGGTGCTGAGCTTCCTCTCCTGCAGCGCCCGGTCCATGGCCAGGGCCAGGCCGTCTGGCCCCAGCTTCGAACCCGCCTCCAGGTAGTGGCTGGGGAGAGAGAAGTGG